TTTGGATCTAGGGCCATTGATTTGAAGACATAGGTAAGTGCTAACGTAACTATCAAAGGCTCATGTCATTTACAACAGTTACATTGAGGGGTATCCCGTGAAAATACCTGTGGCATACTGTTCACATCCTTGTCTTTCACATAGTACAATCCTTTCCGAGTCGATGAGAACATCAGCGGAAGCTTCCTTTTCTTGGCTAGACTGTCTTGGCTCAGTACAAAATTCGCTGCTGTTTCTAACGGCTTTAGACGACGTCTGTGAGCAGAGGGTGGCAAATCGACATGATGAATTGTTTGAATACAGAACACACAGAACTTTAAAAATGTGTTGAAAGTTTGGTACGTTAGTAACCATGAAAAGAACAATTTGCAAAAAAAAAAATCAAAATGTTACATTCATCGTAAGAAAGATGCATATTGTGTATACTATTAGTATAATAGAAACAGAAATTATTAGTCTTCTAATCATTAGTAGCATATCGCATTCTTTTTACCGAACTTTATGGAGTCTATTTGTTAGTTTGATCACTTTGAATGGATTCGTGTCGGGAAACAATTTGATAATTCGTTGGTAAGTTATCTATGAATCTTTCCTCACCTAAGTTCTAACAGGGCTGTTCTGTTTAACTCCCACTCTTTCTCTACCGGGTGGAGGAAATCCTGCCTCTGGCTCTGCGATTCTTGGCGTGCGGGACGTGTTCGTATAGGGGGCGCTGATGTACTGAAAGAAATGAGCTCTAGACTTACGGTGATGTATATATGTATGAAACTAAGCGGTGCTAGGGAAACGGTGGCTACAGTCATGTGAGAAATACGAATGGTATGAAGAGAGAAACTTAAGATAACATAACGTAACGTAACGTAACGTAACGTAACGTAACATAACATAACACAGCATAACATAACCAACATAACATATAACATTAACATAACACCGCAAACGGAGGATTGTGTCCTACAGACTTGTTATATAAACATAGTCAAGTCAGTCAAGTCAAAGTTTATTGCACAACGATTGTCACGGGTACAATGTATGGCAAATAATAAGATTACTAGTTGGTATGTGTCTAACATAATGCTATATATATATGGTCAACGGACATTGTATCTGACAGAGTATTATAAAGAACTACTGGCTAGAGAATATTTCGACTCTACATGTACATTCTACATTGCGCTAAACTATACACATGAAGGGTACAGTGAGCAGTTGTACCTAATTATATTAAAGATGTTCTATGGCTACTAAACAGAGTGTATACTAAGTTACTTGCCAGGAATGTTAAAATTCTACATATAAATGCTACGAAACGCTACACTATATACATGTAGTTGATAAAAAATTCAGTGACTCTACTTATGCAGCTATTCTAAGATGTCTTTTTTGCATGGCATTATAAATGTATTGACCTATATATACAGAAAATGTGTCTGGACATGACATAAGTACATGGAACGTCTCTCTAGATGTGTTGGGTAATGTTTTAGTAGTCTTACATCGGATCATCTGCATTAATTTGCGTCTCTCTTCGTCGTATGTGGGGCATGTCATCAGAAAATGATATTCGTCTTCAACTCCACCTTTGCACGTAGGACATAATATGCCGGGCAATTCAAACATATTCTAAGCCAAGGCAACTATCAAACGCATAGAGAAGGTGAAAAACCATGATGTACTTACATCTTAACGCCTGCACCGTGGAATTCCAGAACCAAACACATCCCCAGGACGCCAAGGCACACAGTTATTACAAAACCTTTCAGCATCGGATCTAGGGACAGGAAATAGAAATTTCCCACTGACAGTAGATATCATATACGAACGTTTTGCACATTTTACAATAGCCTTGCTAATACTACCAGATACTAGAGGTATGTAATGTGACCTTTATTTGAAGTTGGCAGAAGCGATCAAGAGATATGAAATGATGTGGCTCTTTTGGGTGAAAATGGGGATACTAAACAGTCAGTGAGTCACCCTGGAGACTAGACGCCGCCAGTTTGGCATATTCATGCTTCATGTCATCTGTCCCATATACACGTGTACGTGTATTGTGGCTCTGCCGACGTCTAAAACAATTATTGTCCCCTTTCGGAGCATTTCAGAGTAAGTACACGCCAAGAGTTAAGGAGATCCAGAAATGTGCTACTGCTAACGCAATAGATACACAGGTATACGACAGATCACGAAAGACTAACCCCGATTTTGTCCTCGGGGACGCCCTGGTCCTCGGGTGGGTCACAAAACATACCTGATAGATTTTCCAGTTGACTGAAGAAACTCTCGCACTGATACTCCGGGTGATATGTTTGAGAAACCCTTTCACCTGCTTGTTGAAACAAACCGTAACGGTGGACAATTAAATTCGCCAATCGATCCACTGAGCAAGGTACGAGTATCACTGTCTCTTCCTCCAAATATCTGGTCTCAAATTCCTTTATCAAGTATGCATCGGCGTTTTTATAGACAGCCATAACTCATTGATAATTCATGCGGGTCGTCTTTGGGAACAAACGTAGCGAATTCCCTCGGGAAAATAAGGCTGGTCAAAAAACGAAGACTTGACTTAAACAAACAACAACAAAAAAAGAAACCAAGAAAATATACATGACATTTCTTCACAAATTTAGATCGGAAAACGCAAATTACTTGCTGAAACCAAAGTGGTCCATCCAATCACAGTACATGTACTACTGACACTAACATGGTGTATAATATATTAAACTTTTAAAAACATTCTGCACATGTTCTGTGATGATTTCAGGTGGCTGATTGTATTTAAACGTTACCTTCAACCTACTAGACCTAGAATTTCAGACTTTGAATTTTCGTGCTAGTTGATATAGGTATAAAAGTCTCCCCGCATGTGTTCATCCTTCCACCAGGTGTTTCAATCTTTCTGCATGTAACAGCTGCAAGTCAGCCAGAGGGCCATAACGGGCTAGGAGGAGGCGCAGCACCCATGTGGCCATCTGTAATGACGTCACAGAAAATGTGAGATCCATTAGGCCAGGAGCGACGAAATCCTTTTGTGAAGGGCGATAAATATAGCCTGTATCTGCAGTCTTGGCCCAACAACATCACTCAACCTCGGGCGAAGGCACACGGTTCCATCAAGCCGCTCTACCGCTCTACGACTGTACCTTTGAATTCAAAAGGTAAGGTTCATCACTTGAACTCATATGAATCCGCGGATTCTTTACATGATCACTGATGATGTAGAACTTTTTTAAGGTATGGGCGATGCACTTCAATGTTGTGACGGCGTTTAATCTATGATACTTAGAATCAGTAGTTGCATGAAAGACTTAGCAGGATCGTGGTAGTGACGTGGGAACATTTCTGGAATATTTGGGCTGGCAAACTAGTCGTTTCTGTCAAATTATACAAGCAAGTCCATAACTTCACACTGTGCAAGTATACAAGCTGTCTGGTAGACAGACTGTGTTTCTCAGAGCTTAGGAGATCGTTAAAACGGATTGCACTGATTTGCTTACGCATGTTACATCAAAGGTACTCGTAAGAATTTCAGCGAACCGTTGACTGAATCTTAACTTTGGGTACACGATTTACTGTGAACTAGAGGTCTCACAAACTGTACAATATGTTCACTACCGACAGACATTTAGAAAGATGTCAACGGTAAACGTCGCTGACATAATGACAAATTAGCAACAAATGCATGGTAACATAAACGGAAACCAGTTAATACCAGTATCAACCAGCACGTTGGAACTGTCGAAAGGAGTCAAGAGATCGACGTTTCTAATGGAAAGGTTCTTCCCACTGATTTTCTGTGCCTTCAAAAAATGACCTCTACTTGAACATTCCTCGTTCGCTTCTAATGGGAGCTCCAAGTAAATAGCTCTACAAGCGCCTTTTGCATTCCTTCCTGCCCTTTTTTGTAGATACCGTTTGGGAACATTTTTGACAACACTGCCACAACTAGACGTGCCATATGTCTGTTTCCTGTCACGGGCGGTGATTGAAGGGATTTCAATCTTTGAAGATCGGATCTGACAGAGATAACGACAGTGATTAGATTCTCCAATTAAATCAGATGTAGGTCTTTAACTACGCCGGTGACACGAATTATGTAACACAGCATCAGGTTCTTGGTCCCAGGGCCCCTCGATGACGCATGCATACATTAGTTACACACAAGTTGGGTTGAATGGAGTGAATTTTTACGAAACTGCGCCCTGGTGGTAAGTATACCAGTGCTCGAGAGCCGCAAACTTGCCATTTGGGCAGGCTGAGAAATTGTATGCAGAAAGGCGTTCTGTTTACAGTAAATAGGATGCGGAAAGAAGCATTGCACATGTGCAATGCTGGTAAGCTGGCTGGCGAGATGTGTCGTATGATAAAGAAGGGTAGAAAGGAGAAATGTCCTTATAAGTCATTCCGTAGTGGAAATGGGACTGGTTTGGGTGTCACAAACCTTCTTCATCATTGTAAATCGCGACATCTGAACTCAGATGTATCTACCCGACAAGAACATAACGCATTCTTCGCTATTTCTATCTTCTATTTAGAAGACGTTGTTCGCATATTTTCTTTAAATAGTGCTTTAGTCAATTAAGATGACAGCGCGTAAACAATATACAGTATTTCAGTTGTACAAAAATTAGGATAAATCTTGCATACGTACTATGCAAACCATGTATTTTAAAGAAAGTAAAGGCATTGAAAGAAACGCTTGATTCTATTCTTAACTCCATCTTTTTGTCGTTGTCACAGTACTGCCTAAAACGTGAGAAGAACCATGTCTGCGCACACTCATCTTTGGTTCCTGCTCGCCTGTTTGTTATTCCTGACGTCATCAGTAGATGGTAAGTGCGGCCAGGATGGTTTCTCGACTTTCTCTTTTCAAGTGTTCTACGCACCGCACATGTCAACGTTCTAGATCAGTTCCCAATAGAGTGGCTAATAGTAGGGGACAATGCCAACATTTGAAGCCAAGGCATTGATTGTTATATTATCTATATATCAAATCAAAATATTGTAATGGAACAATGGATGTTGTACGTCACACTGTACTATTTCTTTATCCTACACTACAACCGATAGACAACTTGTGGTTCGATTGGGCCGCTATCTTCGTACTAACAATAATGTAGCAGGTCCAAATGAAAAAAATATCTTTATTGATCATACATATCATACCTGCATCATTTCTAATTATAAGATAAATCCTAGCTCAGCATGACTGAAGAATTATCCAGACGTTTCTAGTTGCCAATGATGACTGTTTGTTTCTCCTCACAGCTGCAGGAATGATGAGCGCCATGTCGGAGACCTTGGGTTTCTTCGGGATGTGGTACGGCCTCATCGGCCTCAGCATCGTCATCATCTTCGTCATTGCCTTCACCGGGTTCGTGGAGAAGTAATCTCGCGAGATTTCGTGATCACGCGGGACTTCGTGACGTAACGTGACGTTACCCCTTATCTATCACCCCCCCCCCACTTCACAACAATGTCGTGACCTTCACAACAATAGCACCTCGCGAGGCCACACAAGCTTTCTTTATATTGTGATTTTATGTTTCAATCTATACGTATGGGTTGTAGTCAAAATTCAGCAATACTGAAATATCTATTGCCATGAGAGGAAAAATGACGTTAATTCTTCTTCAGTGACAAGAAATCTATCAATATCAGAGATATCATATACGCTGGACTAAGTGGAGCAATTGGTCAATTTGAATGAGATACGTGTAAGCATCGTAGGTTTGTACGAGGGATGGAATATATGTCATACTTGCTATGGTTACGCCTAAGGGAGGTTATACCGGCTATGTAGATACAAACAGATTAGGTTTCATGTTGTGATGCATTTTTGTATCGTTGCTTATATACCCTGCAGGATTGGTGATGAAAACAAATAAATGATGTGTTAAAAGGACGTTGCCGAATGTGTGAGTTTACTGTAGATTGAATGCAGGACAAGTGGTTCGTGGTGCAAAGGTTTAATTTACGAACAAAAACGTTCATCAGCATAAACTCAAGAGATGATAGGGGTGCAGATTTGACAGTGTTCGGTTTAAGTTAAAAATCCACTGAATAGTTCTTAAGCCAACATTTACCTAGTTATTAAAAATGCACACTTGATTGTATTGAACATGATTCAATTGCAAGGAAAACAAAAAAGAATTTGCCAACAGTGGACATGTCTACCATTGAAGTGAATGAGACACGTACGTGCACGTTTACATCTAACATCAAATACAAGCGTGAACAAGTTTCATTACAACGTTAAATCTTCTTACATCTTTATTGCTTTACATCAAGACGAGATATCATAGCGTTATTAAAGTAATATATTCGTATATAGCTATTGATAAAAGTTCTTTCGTACCACTTGTGTGGTAACGTGCTACATTTCGAGCAGGGAGTAATTCGCTTCATTGGCACTTTTCAATAGAGTTCGCCTGTCTAATTTCAAAATACTGTTACTTGCCGTACAAGTAACTCCAGCATTCCTCCTATCCCATTGCAGACGCCATTCGTGTTTCAAACACTTAAAGATAGTGTAAAAAGCCCAAAATACACATTATGTGGTAATTAGTGCCCAAACACTACTGACCTAAAACGCCAAAATACTACTTGCTTCTCGTTCTTCGCACACGCCATTCTATTTATTGCATAGAGAGAATAATTTCTACAACGAAAATGGCTATCTATGACAATAGTCAATACCTCAAACCACTTTCCCAGCCGTAAAAAAGGAGGCAATAAAACATAAGCAACAGAAGTCTGGTCCACAGCCCTTAGACCATATCGAAGAACAGGGCTGAATTATCTCAGAACTCCCTCTCCCAACTTCTGGGCTGAGGCTGCCTTCCTTGGCTTGTTACGGGTGATGTCTCTTACATCTGCTCTGCACTGTCCCCTTACGCTAGCACCTGTGCACTCCAGAGTGTATTCCACGTGTTTGTCGGAGTCTTGACCGTGGTTAGTCGGCCTTGGCTGCCTTCCCTCTCCTCCTGCCTCCCGCCGGTTTGGGTGTCGGCGTGGCGGGCTCGGGTGCCGGCGGGTGGTGGTGGTGCGCGTCGGCCGGCAGACTATCCGCGCTGCCGAAAATGAAGGGACTAAACAAGTTCTCTACGGGCTTGAAGGGGTCATCAGCGTGGAAGGCCTTCATGGAGACGGCGACGGAGATGAGCCAGAGGGAGACGGCCAGGACCACCATCTCCTGACTGATCCCCATCAGGATGTCGGTCCGACCCAGGATGATCAGGACTGCTCCCACTACACACGCCTTGATCGAGCTGAACAGGATTACACACAATATGGAGGGATATTTCATTTCCATTTCAATCAGACGAAGGTTTCTTGCATTAGTTTGTGTCAATCCAACAACAAAGATATTGGCAGAAAAAAGACCTCTATGCAGTTTTATGTAACTACTTACAAGGAAGGCTTGAGGATTGCGTTGATGTCCGGTTTCCACACGCCGCGCACGGCCTGCTCGAAGTTCAGCAGGAACTCGTTACCGCATGCTGGAACAAAACAAATGCCTTATGAGACAACTTTGTGGCCCTCTTAATGTTGTTCTGTCGTTTTATTGTCATATTTACTAGTTTGATAGAAGTGTGATAGAAGATATTGGTTTCCAGTACTGATACAAGATGTTGTGGTTCTTGTAGGTAATTGCGTGCCCCCTGTTATCAAGGACAAATTATGGTGTCAGTGCCATAGTATTTCTTCTACTCGTACCAGCGACAAAGATTATTGCTAATGCAGTGAGCCAATGTCACAGTTTTCACCTTTGGCCACCCCTACGATGACCTGGGCCAGTAGACTGTGCGGGTACACTTTGGCGGCCGCCCCGATCCCCGCCACCAGTTTGCGCACGCGCGCAGTCTCCTTCAGGGCGGTGATAACAAGTTTGAGGGGCAGGATGGAGATAATCTTGTAGAACAGATCCTTCGGGCAGTAAAACAGGAGGTACCTAAAACACAAGCAAATGATTATTTATTCACAATCATTTGTTTTACATGAGCCATTGTATGAGATATGATGAGAATGTATGGCTGTGAATAAAAGAATTTTAATACATGTATTCAATAATTTTACCAACCTGATGAAATTATTTACGAAGATGAATAAGAGCATTCGCAAATTCAGAGAAATTTGATACATTTCAACATCTCTTACTAATGTTTATGAATGACTAAACTCACCAAATAGCCGATGCAAGAACGACATCTTCCGGGTGCGCTAGGAACGACAGGACGGAGTGCCCGAGCAGCAGGTCTGCCAGGATGTAGCCTCCAAAGCAGGCGATCATGGAGGCCACCCAGTTAGCCAGGGGATTACTCCGCGATAGTGCTAGAGAGCCTGGTGACAAGAACTATTTACAGAGTTAGCTGCAACAATTGACTAGGCTATGTGGGTCGACGGCGAACTCCCAATTTAGATACATCAACAAACTGGTCGGTTCAGTACAGGGTGAATTATCCTCCATTCAGAGCTATTACTGGTCTACCCCCGGAGGATAATGACATAATACGTCAAGGTCATATCCTATACTATATATACATGTACATATACAGCAGGCCGCAAGCCTGAGTAGGCTTAGCTTCTGACAGCTGCTGTTACATTACAGTTCTATATATGACCCGAAACCGAGACCTTTGGGCATACCGAACAAGAAGGTAGAATTCAAAGCACAAAATGCATGCAATGCCATATAACTATAAATCAACAATGACAGTTGATTATTGTGTTTCCCTCTTTGCAGCAAATTCACTGTAGCTATAGATTATCCACTCTGCTAGTGAATCATTTATTTACCGCAAGGTGACCTTTACAAATACATATGACAGCTTTGAAAAGGAAACACCAAAGATACAAGTACTATAAGTTGGAAGAGCAATAATATTATACAGTATTCATTTCGACTTAATCCTTTTTGAAACGGCATATCGTTAGTTTTTTAGCGGTAGTTGTGAACACCCTATACCTTTCCTCCTGTGTTTTTTCCTTTCGCATTTCACCCCAAAACATATCGAGACACCCCATAGCAACTAGACAGAATTGTCATATTTATACATGTTATATATCTATCAATACACAGAAACTGTTTGCTCTCTGTGTTCAAACTAGTGAGTTGTCATGATACCACCTACTTTGACCTGGCGAATGTTGTAAACGCCTCGTTGCATGTGATTTTTGCATGAGAACCTGTAATTTTTTTAAATCCGTCCATATGAAAGAAAATATATATTCAAAGCTACTTTGCCAGTGCAGTGGGAGAAAACTCATTTCAGCACATATAATCAATTCATTGCGGTAACGCTATATGACCACTACAGATCTAGCAGATCGTTAAAGGGAACGACAGTTTGCAATTACTCAATTTACTGTAGAGCTCTCGCAATCATCTGTGTCGGGCGGCAATTCCATGTAAACAGATATTCCAGCTTTGTGTGTGTGTGTTGCGTCGTCCCAGCATTAATGTATTGTTTTTCACACATGACTGATGATTCATTAACAAGAATGTCGGCTAACCATTAAGCAGGGCTATGTTGACTTTGCACGCGGAAATGAATTTTGACCTTAATCCACAGGGTGCTGATTTAACAGCTGGTATTGTGATCCAACCAGAGGCTTCAGATTATAGCAGGGACAAATTTGGAAGATCGTCCATCCATATAACATTACACAGCATTCCCGTTATAGGGGGCTGAGATACAGAGGGGTCGTCACACTGAGCAAAAAATACACCAAGGTCGCCCCAAACGTCAGTACGGAATATAAGGGCACCTTATACCTAACCAGGGACCACCGCAATGTTGTCTTAAATATGATGTCTAGTTCCCAACATGGAAAACGGGGCCATAGTGTGAAGCAACACGTGAACATGCGATTATGCAGGGAGGTCAGGCATGTCTAGAGTCATTTCGATGTTTATCTGAGGTTGACTACTGTTAAGGGCACAAACCTGTGTCATATCTGGTGGTGAGGATCATCAGTGTGTAATGGCAGGCGTTGAACACGGGGAACATCGGCAGGGTGGCGAACACCTCCGCCACGTCTTGTACCACCTCCATGGTCCCTCAGATTCGGGATGAAACGGCGACCGGAACCGGGACGTTAGAGAAACATCGGGGCGGGCTGCGGGGCCGCGGTTACCGGCGAGTGAAGAGAGGGGCTCCCCCTGGCCGGCGTGCCCAACATTCCCTGCATTCTGCCCACCCTCGGGTCGACGTGCGCATGCGGGGTGAACCCTGCTGCACCTGTCACCCTCCCGATACCCCTTAGTGTGAACAAACCTCCAACCTGACGGCGATTTACGACAGGTTGATCAGCAAAGAGAGCCGCTTCCCTGCACAGAACAAACAGTCTGACTGTTTCACCATTACGCGTTTGACCGTGGCAGGGACTAGCCATTTGTGAAAGCGGAGGGAGGGAAGTTAGACCCCTATTCAGAGTCAACAATCAGCCCAAAGTTCACGTTCTAAACTTCTGTGTACTTCCAAAAAGAAAGCAGCGTCACTGGTTCCACTAAGAATATTAAAAACTCAAAAGCAGCATTTGTACCGGAAACTAGGCGACAGGGCTTAAAACGCGAAGCACAATGCTTTGCTGCTATCTGAAATCCATGTAAACATAGCTTCGGTTGGTAACATCCACAAATACACATGTACATGTCTCCTTACACATACATGAGCTGTAGGATGTACCGAGAAACTTGTCTTTCCAGTCACCACCGTTCCCTCTGAACTCTGACCTCACGGCACGCCAGGGTGTGTACAGGAGCAACACAACGTGCTGTTTCTATTGAAAGTACTGACACTATATACGAGTAGTACTACAATGTAGTAGCACTATTTTGAAAGCAGTGAATTTTTAGTTTCTGCAGGAGGTGTAGCTCGTGTATTTTAAAAGAGGATGCTTTGGTTTTGTCATAATACAGGCGTTTTGGCTGCAGTGTATAATTATGCGGTATGAAGGCTGGGGACGGTACATAATGACAGTACAGGACACAGGAGGGCTTTTCAGTACCAAGGACAGGGAGGATTCATTATAAACAGGCGGAGGGAGGCTGTGGTGTAGGATTATGCAGTACTAAGGCCGGGGACGGTATATAATACTACATTCAAACAAGAGAGCCATTCAGTACCAAGGGCAGGGAGGGTTCGTTATAATACAGGCGTTGTAGAATTATGCAGTACTCAATGCTGGGGACGGTGCATAATAGTACACGACACAGTAGAGACGTTCAGTTCATGGAGACAACGCCTCACTGCGACATATGCATGTCACGGCACGTGCAAGCTGCGTGCTCCTCACGTGATACGTCTGGTGGGTAGCAGTTCAGATTCATGTTGTCAGAGGGCGCCCATATGGCTTTATCTGTCTGCCTGACATATGTCCTATTGAAATGTGAATGTCTATTTCTCTTCCCTTTCTCAGATATATGATGTAAAACAGAGTAATGCGTCTTCTGATGCAACATTTTCCCACATTTTGTGGAAGCGGACAGCACAACAAGGATCCTACGATCAGAATGAACTTGGCATGTCAACACGGCGTATACCTGTAGCCCACAGGGCTAGTTAAGTCCCTAAAGAAAAACAGCGTTTAATACTCTAGTTTATTTTATTTTATTATGGGCAATGGTCAAATTCTATACTGTGCACCACGAGTGGTTTAACCTCCAAGTGGTGCCCATGTTGAACACTGAGTCACATGTAGGTATATATCCGTTGACGTGAAACCATGGTCGTGGTTACTACAAAAGCGCGGATTTCACTCGGCTCTGTGCCATTACTAGCGTAGGCGGCGGCGGCTGTTGAAAACGCATTTCGTCCTGATGCACATCGAGTGCTTCGGTGGGTAAAAAGGGGGAAATTGGCGAATTTAAAGGAGAGATGGAGTGTGGGGGCGACAGCTACCGAGCACTTAGTGCTCACGGGAACGCGGAGAGCCGCTCATCAGACAGACGGCGTGCACCATTTCCTGCTTATGTAACACTATAATCTCTCCCTACAACAGCTAGCGTGCACATGTAATGATGGATTCCGCTAAGATTAAGCATAATTCTCCTATAATAGTCAAGGGCGAACTTGACTGGCGTGGTGTTGTACAGACCAAATTAAATCTAGTTGCAATCAATTATATGTATTCTTGTTCTTGTATACCATTGAAAACAACTATAGCACTCAGACTGTTTGAACGAAAATACCTTGCCCTTGCAATCCAATATCTTGATTCTTGCAGCGGAAGAATTTTGATGAATCAAAAGACAGAAAGGCGTTCCATAACATGCTCATCACGGTCTTGTTGCACATCGTTAGAAAGATATCGGGTCAGTCGGCATCAACTCATCTCTGAGTCTACAAGAAGGGTCGTAAAGGGGAGCTCTCTTAGGGAGGGCGCTGAAAGGGGTTGTGGCATTACACCTTTTCGCATATGCAGCGATGTCCCTACGTTTATTATGACAAATGGAAACCTGCAAGCCACTTTTTTCATTAGTTACTGAAGGTAGAAAAAAACTCCCACGGAATTCGAAACAAACCAAAACCCGCACGTCGGAACAAAATGGACTGCATGCAGCTTCCTCGTCCATATTCTACAACTACATTATAACATGAAGTATTCTTTGTGAACCTGATCTGCATTGAGCTTTATTCTGTTTGCCCAACACCGTGGCAGAAGACACGTCTCCATATTATGGCATCATATGTGCAGCTAGCGTCTGAGAGGACTAATGTATAGATAACTGCATAGTTCGATGGGCCCTGTCCAGTGAGCGCACTCTGAATTTATATATAACGTCCGCCCCCGCCAACTTTCTTCCATGGCTCCGCGTTGTTGACTGTGCGCTGCCAGGTTTCGGCTCGTTCCATCCCCTGAAAGGTATCCCCTCCCCGTGTTACCTGCCAGATTTGTTGTCAGGCCGTGAACTGTATTGGCATTGTGCAGTGGAAGCCGACTACGGCGGATGTTAGTCACGGTTGGCGGCATTCTGGCCTTGGTTGCGGCGGTGGAAGAATATTGAGAGAGTGCTCCGGCTGTTGTAGGAAGAGGAGACAGCTGACTGGGAGGTTGACGTCTCTTCCGCTAACCTAGCAACGCCTGCACGCGTCTCCGCCGTCACTCCCGCCCCACAACACCTGCCGTCCGTGCCCAGAGCAGCGCGCACAGCCAGCACCATGCCCGGGGAAACTGCGGAAACTGCCCCGGCCGAAAACGCCACCAGCCAGCCCGAGGAGCCCGAGAAGCCCGCGGCGGACGGAGAGGCGGCCAAGGCGGAGGACGCGGCACCTGAGCCCGAGGCGCCGCCCGAGAAGGAGGTGCGCGCCGTGGTGCTCTCAGGCTTCGGCGGCATCAACAAGGTGAAAGTGATGCGACGTTCGGAGCCGAAGCCCGCAGAAGGGGAGATTTTGGTGAGAGTAAAAGCATGGTAAGTCGGGCACACCTACATGTATGCACAACCACACACTGACTCAGACAGGCAAGTTCATATTTGCTTTTCACCCTCATCATTGGTGTGGAAGAGTGCTTTGTATACTCAATAGTGTGATAAACGTCGACCCCTTGTAAGCGATGTCAATAATCGGCAGTTCGGACGCCGTTATCACTCTGTACGGCTTTCCATATGGAGTGTTTCCCCTGCCCCCTCCCCACTGCCGCAGTAAAGTGGGCGTGTGCGAGAACACAGGGCAACTCGCACAGCCGGATCATACAAGGCTGCAAACCGCTTCAAAACACACCCAATTAATCTTTAGCATCTACCCGTCCTTCCTGAATAGGTCTGAGAAAAATCAACGCAGTCATGCCATGGAACACAAAATGGCCTGTATGTAAAATTCCTCTCTTATGCGCTTCGCTTGCCATGAGGGCAGGTGGTCCTAGGGCTGCTAGTTTAACGGAAAGGCTCACATCCTTTTGAACACATAAACACACTACAAAAATAGAAATCCGGGCGAACAGTTCACTGTTATTAAAGCATATACGGCCAGATCAAGATGCAAGGTCTATAAAAACAATGTTTAACGCAGATTTCAACAGACGGGGGGTTTGCGCTGTGAAATATTTTGCTACACAAAAGTGGCATTTATTTAAAGCTAGAACGTGCGCGCCAGTGATTCTGTTTGTGTGCACACACAAGGGTATAAAAGCTGGTGTGTTTTTCTCGTCATCCGCTGCAAGACCTGCAAACACGCCCGATGCAGTGAAAGTGTAGACAGTGCTGGTAGAACAAACGGTAAGCACTGTGCACTCTCTGGAACGGTAATGGGTCCCAATCTGTTGTCCTTGGTCGGGCACCGGGGACGGTACAGTAACTATGGTCAGTGCGGGTTGTAACAAAATAAACCTTTCATAATGTTCCATCCACTTCGGTGTTTTCGCTCTGTAAGTAAAAGGTGTCAGTGTTCCATGGCGTCATGTTTCCTCGCTAAAGTGTAGAAACATGTCGTGCTTTCGTGTGAGCTCTGCGCGAAGGGAGTCGAACTAATCGGGCGCAGTGACGTCTGTCATGATCTTTAAAATCCGGCAGACAAAAGACATATTTTACACACAGGTCAAGCCTGACATTGAAAGGTTCGAAACATTTCAGATTTCATCCACGATAAAAGGATCACACAATTTAACACGAAAAACTAGGTTCAGTGTCAGTCAAACTTAGTGCGAGTGACTGAACCAACTCATTGTTGCATTGCGTCTGATAGTAGTCATTTATTCCAGAGCTGTTCTATTTCCAAAAGAGGTACAGCGACAATTGGGATGTCAGGATGGATGGTAATTATCTAGACAGCGTGAGAGGTGACTCTAAAAGGCAAACTGTGAGGGGAATAAAGGTGTGTGTTTGGCGCGCTACAGGTGGTTGCAAGCTACTTAGTGTGACCTTGTTGTCACAGAGCATGCGCACGCACATGTAACAGCTGCAAAACCTGCCCGAGTAGTGCTTGTATAATCTCCAGTCCTTCCACCGAGTTTAATATGATCCTTGAGAATAATTGCCGGGTCATATTCGGTGGGACGGATTTAATGTACGTAAAGGTTAGATGTAGTCCGACAGCAACATTATGAAGCTCAATTAAACCCCGGGAGCCTCAACAGACAGCAGGGAAGTTTCGTTACTTCTTGTACAGTTACCCTCCAACAACCCCTAATTATTAAGGGGGGGGGGTACTGTAATGGGGGTAACAGTTATATTTCGGGTACGGTGTACAACATTTGGGCAACATTATCCAAATCCTAAAGTCATACTTGGATATGTATGTGTTGTGCCGACTAAAACGGTAGGATACATACATTGTATAAGACAGATGCACATCCAAAAAGGTCATATAACGAGCGGTCCCTGCAGTTTTTTCCGGCTCTGTCAGTGGCCGGATGAAACCGCGCACGAAAGATTTACCAAACGGCGCCGATATTATTCCTGCACATGAGATGTTCAGTATAAGATAAAGGTTTATACACTATAATTGTTTTTGAACAACAACAGCTGCGATAGTGATTAGAGGTTGGCTGAGAGAAGTTATTTAGTGGATTCGTGGAAATATCGGTGTAAACTGTTTGAGGGACCAGCACAGCAATTTGTGAAATTTCCCATCATTTCACCCCATGTTTCAATATATGAGTCCGGTCTTATGGGAGTTTTTTTTCTCAATATCTTCAGTGCCTACCACAGCTTTGCCGTGGTGTGTTGTACGAACCAATCGAGTATACCTACACTGTCTGTACGCAATGTAGAATGGGATGATGTTGACTTTCGTGCAGAGTTCATATACCCTATCTAAAGTCTAACACACCTTTACGACGCCAACCCCTCCCACGTCACAACAGGACCGGCTGAGAGGAGAAACAGAAGCGGAGCGCTTAAAGCAGAATCTCATCTATCACTGTGAAATATGAGTCTCCCCTGACGATATGTTGTTTGCGTCATTGTTGTGCGTGTGTAAACCCTAAGGTCCCGGGAGTTGTATGAGGACGTGGATAACTTTCCAAGCAGAGGTTGATGGGTGAAGATCATTACCTATTTATATGTGCCCCGTTTTTTTGTCGCTACCCTCACCAGCCTCTGCCGCTAATCGTGAATTTGAGTAGCGAAAAAAAACGGGGCATATATAAAAAGGTAACGATCTTCCCCCATCAACCTCTGCTTGGAAAGTAGACGTGGATATGTCCACCGCACGTTATGTTACAATATAGTTGCAAGGGATATTACTCGTTTGAATATTGGCTTTTATTTCTTTTGAGTAAGCTTTGAACCAATAACGTTGTCAATTGACAAGCCAGCTAATCCCCATCAGCTAGCTAGCTAATCCACCCCCGATGGTTTATACTGACACATGTTGCCATAACAGAATATATATTATAGTAAACGTTAATTTAAACTTTTGACCCGGATTTCCAAAGAAGCAACGTCCGCCAACGTTAATTTGTTGTATGAGTAATGTTCGACCGTGACCTAAATATTAGAGGTCTCCGGTATCCTGTCATTAATCTTGTAGTTCCAATAAATGCATTAAAACAATAAGGGTAATCTAGAAATATCAACCAAGGCTCATTTTGTGGGGTTATCGGACACCATAACACAATGTGTTAACAGTTTTTGCAATGTTCTGCAATATCCTCTTCGTGATCAATTTTCCACCAAGTGGATAAAAGGACCGATGCATTATTCTTCATAGTCATATTCTGGATTATTCTTCATAGTCAACATCTGTCGTCAGTCTTAGATAACATAGGTGCTTCCAGCCCGTATTGTATAGTACGGTGCAATTTGGCCCTTTGGCTACGATGTTGTATTTCAAATAAACCGATTCTTTATCTTCCTTTATGATATTGATGCGTACGGTGAAATCCTCCATGATTGATTGAGCAAAATTACGACAAAGCCAGCCTAACGTACTTAGATTTCACGAGCAGGGGGATCATACAAGTAGAACCAGTTTACAGCTACTACAGACACATATATCGTGACGGGCATACAAATGTCACTAGCGTAGAAAGCAACAAGAAAAGGGGATGTAAAAGAGGAGGCTGATTTTTTTTTTGGTTACCGATCGTGCTTCCATTTACCACTTACCAGGATGACCCGATTTCTGCCGGATTAGCAAACAAGGGTGCGGCGGTTCTTACCGTGGTGCTAATGGCCTCCTCCGTAATGACAGAACATGGAAGAAATCACAGTCTGGCCAATCCATAATGACGATTAGTGTGTCAGGGGAGGCGAAATGTGTCAGGAGACCACTACAGGTTAATGTCTTAATGAATAGGCGCTGCAACGGGATAGTCGTATGTGGAGGGGCTAAAATTTATCTGGCAAAGATGAGTTGTTTTTCCGTGTGGTAGATGCTAATTCAGTCCGCAACAGGTGGATACAGGGAATTGTGCCATCTGTTGAGCTCAACATACATTAGTACTGCAACAGAGACAGGCACAAATGTTAACAACGTGTTGTACATACTACAGAATGTAAAATCTTTGTTAGACGAACGCGAAAGAAACCAATATAAGGAGCATGTTGGAGCATAAATATACAAGGATGCTATATTTGGTCTAGGATAAGTATTGCCTATAATATTGTGAGTAGATTGCTGGTGTACACATGTTGTTTGTAATGTTTGTTTCATCTATAGCTTCCGCAATGCCTTTTCTAGTGTCAATAAAGGTCATTAAATCATACAGGCACCACGTCCCCACACATAGGAAAACAGAAACATCCGGGGCAAAGAGAAAGGAAGGGGCAAGATGGGAGCCATTTTATAACGAATGCGGGTTTCCATCTGATTACGTAGCTAATTGACCGATACTGGCTATGTATGTATTGTGATTTGATCTATCATGCAGTGAGATTTTCACTGTCATATCGAATGCAGAAACTAAGAACATAGATTAGCCTCCCCTTAGCCATGCCATATGTTTCAAAAGATGCGCTGGTTTAAAAAAAGAGGAAGCGGGATGGACGTTTCTTTGAAGGCCCATTAAGGCTGAGCGGGCGTCTGCTTTTCTCCGTGCCGCCCGCTGAAATGTTCCAGCCCGCAGCGCTAGGAGATAATAGACGAGGAAACAGGTGTCCGGAGAGTGCAGGCAGACGTTTGAAGAAGGCCGCGAGGGGCGATGGACGGCATGTTAACCCGCACGTACACTTTTAGACTGGCGCTCCAGGGCGTGGTGCTGAGATGTATGAACAGTGATACAGGCAGGGGAATATAGAAATACGTATACGGAGCTCCTAGGGGCACAATTATACCTCACTTTGCGCGCAGCAGTGGAAAGAAAAGAAATGGACATAAGTGTACTGCTTCAACAGGTTATTGAGTACATATCTGAAGGATAGATCTGTCTTTGTCTTTTCGATATTCGTGCAGATCTCTATTCTTAACCCCTAGTCCGTTATATCGTATCATGTCGGTGTACTGAAAGTGGAGATATTCGTGCACATAAGGA